CAGCTTCAGAGCCAAAGTGCTGTGATGTCAATTGGCTCCCTGTAATAGGCCCACCAGAGCCTGGGAGCTCACTGCCCTTACACCTACCACCTGGCCATTTGAACTCCATGGTCATGAGATTCTTGGTTGTACTTTTCTTTAAGTCTGGAGAAGCTGGAAGATCTTAGAGGCCAAACTGCTAAGAATAGAAGCTTCCGGTCACTGCTTTCTTTTCTCTAGCCCTTCAACAGATGTTAGCCATTTTGAGTCAGGCCAAGAATCTGACCCTGATTTTCAAGCACTTATGGTATGAAATTAGCCTTGGTTGGTTAGCCAGAGTAGATCCCAGAAAGCTCAGCACAGAGCTGAGGACTGTGAGTGTACCTGAGCTATGTGTGCCCGAGGAAGATATTCTGACCTGTGGAGGTTGGGGTGAACTTCATTCATTCTTGTTTTTTTGGTGGGGGGGTTTATCAGGGATTGAACTCAGGAGCACTCAACCATTAAGCCACACCCCTAGCCCTATTTTGTATTTTATTTAGAGACAGGGTCTCACTGAGTTGCTTAGCACCTCGCTTTTGCTGAGGCTGGCTTTGAACTTACTATCCTGCCTCAGCCTCCCAAACTGCTGGAATTATAGGCGTGCGCCACTGCACCCGGCTCGTTCATTCTTTAGAACCAGTGTTTCCCACTGGTTTTTGATTCCCCCCCCAGGTTTTTATCTCCAAGGTCCACGTGATTTTCCCTTGCTCTTCCTTTTTTTGCTTCCTATCCCCCACAGGACCACTGTGTTAGACATCAAGATAAAGAGATAATAAGGCCTCATCTCAAGCCTCACAGCACTCACTGGTGGAGGAGATAAAGGCCATAGACAGCGCAGTGAATTCCACAGCAAAAAGTGCTGTGAAAATTCAGAGGAGGGGCCACATAATTGGCCTGGGCAGGTGGAGGTCTAAGAAGCTCCACAGAGGATATGACTTTTGAACTGAGCCTTAAAGGTTCCCTAGGGGATTTGTTTTCCAATCAGAGGAAACTGCACAAGCAAAACACAGAGGCACAAGAAAGGGGTGACCTGTCTCCCACCCCTGCCTCGTGTGTCCATATGAGACAGTATTTACATGGTGCTAGTCTTACAGGACAGCCAAGACTTAGGAAGTATCTGCTCAGGCCAGAAAAATACTTTCTTTTTTCTTCCCTCTTTGCCATGCCCTGGGAATCCAAATTTAATTAGAATTAGGTCATGACCTTTGACATATGAAGTATACTGGTTGTTGCCTAGGTGGGGACACCCATGTGCATTCTTGGCTTGGCCTGCTGCCTAAGTTCCTTCTCACAGTCCAAGCACAGTAGATGACTTCATGAAGCACTGGAAAGGGAAAGAAGAACCCCATATTCTATGTCCACCTCTGTTTCCCTTACACAGTTCATTATGCAGAGAAAGTACCAAATCCCGCTTTTCTCTCCAGAGGTTACCTCTTGCCCTTTCTGGTAACCGTAGGGGCTACACAGGAAACAGAAACAGCCTCTCCTATTGCATGCGCTTGCTGAGAACAGTTCTGGCAACCATCTCAGTTTCTGTAGTTATCACAGTGAATGCAGCTTTGAGGTTTTCTCTAGAGATAGAAGTTTCTAAAACCTTATTTAGGGAAAGATGTGCCAAAGGCAGCTTCACGGGGCTGCAGTATGGGGTTTAGACAAAATTCTCAGTTCAAATACCAATCCTCCTTGCATGTTCTAGGGCCAGTTGAAAGCTGGTTTAATCCTTTGTGCATGGGAATTTTTAAAAAGGATCAAATTTAGGATCTAGAAACTCGATTGGCAAATGTTTGGTGATATTAGTTCTTACTTTGTGGCAGGACCCTGGGCGGGGTTGCTCTCACCCATGGACTGCCCGGGCTGACAGCCTGTGCTTCGGTTTCACAGCCCCTTCTCCCTTGACACCAAAATGTTGGTTTGAGGTTACTGGTTAGAGTACACTGCGGCCTTTGTGAACTACAGAGTGAACCACACCCTTTATGACTCTGAGACAGAGGCTCTTCCAGAGTTGGAGATTTCTGGAAAGATGCACCTGGCCCACAGCTCTGTCCAGGTTGCTGGATGTTAAGAGGAGAGTGGTCCAAACATGGGACAGGAGCAGCTGGCAGAGTCAGACTCTGAAGTATCTTCCTGATCTTGCCCATCCTCCTTTGCTGACATGTTCAGGGAGTGACAGCAATATGGTTATCTGGCAAACTGTACCCACCCAGAGAGAGTACTTGTTAATAGGGCCTTTTAACTTATCTAGTCCTGTTCTGAGGGAATCCAGAATTATATGCATGAAGTATTACTGCCTGCCTTGTATAGGACCACACTCACCCAAGAGAAAATGGCTCTCATGCACGCACTGAAATAGTGTGTAACACTACTCTAGGAAGTTTTGATTTTTAAAAATGTATCATGGGATAGAAAATGAATGATCTTGTTACTCAAAGGTTTTATTTTTCTAATACCACCCCCCCTTTCCCTCTCTGTTCTTTTGTCTACTATTATCCTTTTCTTGTCATAAAAATGGGATCGTCCTCTGTTTAGCTTCCTCCCCTCGTCACCCCTAACTGACATCTAGGTATGCAGTGTGATATGGAAAGGGCGTCACAGGAATGTCCTCCCGGTGCTTAGTGGAGGGCAGCTGTGACATTAATTGGACCATGTGAAACAGCAGCCAGAGAGTCCTAGGACTTCAGGTTCCTTGTTGAGGTGTACTCCTTGTGATTCCAGAGCCATCCTTCCATAAGGAGGCCAGGTTCCCTGACTTTTGTGCTCAGTGGAGAGGGTCTTTTTCCTTTCACCAAAAGCTACCACTTCCCTGCTAGTCCCTGGAAAAGCTTCCACAGCTCAGGAGAGTGGCTTTCCTGGATACTGTTAACCCTCCTTCATTGAACCCTAAATGCATAGACAGTTGAATTTTAAAAAAAATTTTTTTTGGTTCTAATTAGTTATACATGACAACTGAATGCATTTCAATTCATTGTACAATAATGGAGCACAACTTTTCATTTCTCTGGTTGTACACGATATAGAGTCACACCAGATGTGCAGTCATACATGTACCTGGGGTAATGATGTTCGTCTCATTTCACCACCTGTCCTGCCCCCAGTCCCCCTCCCCTTACCTCCCTCTCTTTGGCCCAATCAAAGTTCCTCCATTCTCCCCACAGTGCCCTGCCCCCCTTATGGATCAGCATCCACGTATCAGAGAGAGCATTTGGCCTTTGGTTTTTTGGGATTGGCTTAGTTCGCTTAGCATGATATTCTCCAGCTCCATCCATTTACCTGCAAATGCCATGATTTTATTCTCCTTTTATACACTCAGTAATATTCCATTGTGTATAGTTACCACAGTTTTTTTTATCCAGTCATCTATTGAAGGGCATCTAGGTTGGCTCCACAGTTTAATATTGTGAATTGTGCAGCTATAAACATCGAAGTGGCTGTAGACAGTTGAATTTGAGAGAACTGTGCCTGGCTAGAGTAGAGAGGTCAAGGGCTGACCTTGACTGCCTGCCCCCTCACCTTTAAATAAGCCCTGCGGAGGCCAGTGCAGGAGAGGGGAGTCTGGTTGTGGGGAGCCCCAGTGAGTGAGTGCAGTTTTCTTGAAGGTGAAGCCTGGGACAGGGGATATGGCTCAAGCGGTAGCCCTCTCGCCTGACATGCGCAGGGCACTGGGTTCGATCCTCAACACCACATTAAAAAAAAAAAAAAAAGGTGAAGCCTGGAACCTGCTGGCCCAGAGGGACCCTGTTGCTGCCACGGCAGTAACTTCAGTCCTCAGCCCCTCTTGCCGCTGGTCACTGGCTTTGAGCAGAGGGTGACATGATCCGACTTGTGTTTTTCCTTCTGCCTGCTGTGGGAGGAGGGAGAGAACGCGGGCTCCTCCTTATTTCTTTTTTTCTTTCCCAAGCAAAGAGATTGTCCTGAAAACCAGCGTGAAGGACATTTGAAAGACTTCAAGGCGATGGGAGCTCGGGACGTTCCTGAGGAATGTCTCTGGGTGTGACTCGGGCCACTCTGGAAGTCATCTGAGAAGCCACGTGGGACAGAGACTGAGTTAGGAAGCCCTGCGTCACCCGCCTCCGTGATGGCCAGCTCTGCTGCCATCGTCATCTGAAGCACTACCAGGACTCACAGCACCAAGTGCTTCAGGGTACTTAATAGACTGCTTCACTACATGTTGGATGGGTTATTTAAGTTCTGTTTTTTGTTTTTGTTTTTTTAATTTGTTGTTGTTGTTGATACCTCAGAAGCACTCCGTTGATGTTCGTTTTGGACAGTTGGGTGTACCTCATGCCGCCCCTAAAGGCAGCCTGTTTTTGACAGTCTAGTTTCTCTCTTCTTTGTGAAAACAAGATGTCATTTCTTGGAAATAAAATGTAAAACCTATCGGTTGCTCAGCTGAGCTTTGGCGTATTTACCTTCCTTCCCTTCCAGCTCCCAGAGAGTCTCACAAGTAAACACTGGCAGCTCATAGATCACAACCAAGAAAGTGACTGTAGCAGATGATAGACTTCAAGTGAATTTCAGCCTGAGAAGCCAAGCCCGAGACCCTGGCCATGTGAGGGGGCCTCTGTCCTGTCCTGTTTTCATTTCAGAGTCTGGTTACTACTTAACTTGTTTTCAGGTTCCTTGCCTTCAGCTGGTGTTCTGAAGACATTTCCGTGTCTGTTTTCCCAATGTCATCAACTCAGGGGCAGGGATCTTTCTTTCTTTCTTTCTTTTTTTGTTTTGTTTTGTTTTAGTACTTTTACTTGTGCGTTTTTCCTCATCTTTTAAAAATTAAAAAGTGTCTCCTTTCTGCTTCCCCCATTTTGTGTGTGGGGTATTTGGTTTTTGGTTTTGGTTTTTGTTTTTGGTAGTTGGGATTGAACCCAGGGATGCTTTACCACTGAGCTACATCCCCAGTTATTTTTATTTTTTTCTTTTGAATCAGGGTCCCACTAACTTGCAATCCTCCTGCTTCAGCCTCCTGAGTAGCTGGGATTACACTTGTATACCACCACACCTGGTCCACCTCCCCTTTTTAAACAGAAGAAAAAAAAGGAAAAAACCCCATAGTTTTAATGTTTGGGAGAGAGACGCTTAGGACAGATTGTGGTGTCCTTGGTTACTTGTGATGAAAATGAAGGAAAAACACAGGAAGTTGAAGAGTAGTCATTTGAAGGTAAGGGCCCTCTAGTAGAATTGTGAAACTACTTGTGTCATCAAATGGTTTGCTTCCCTCTCACTTTTTACTGTCTAAGAACCTTTCTATTTTGTTTTTTATACAACATGTATTTTCATAAAATGTTGAAAAACGACTGACTTGGCAACTTTTTAGGAATGGTGGGAGTGCTTTATTGAATATACCATGAAATTCTGATTCTGGAGTCTCTGGTCTTCTTATCCATCTTTCTGCCCAGAATGACTGTCTGAAATGCTGGTACAGGGCTGGGAATGTGGCTTAGGGGTAGAGCAGGTGTTTGCCTAGCATGCCTGAGACCTTGGGTTTGTTCCCACACTGAAAGAAGTAAGAAAGGAAACCAAAAGAAAGAATACTGGTAGAGCCAAAGAGGAAATAAGGTTAAACATAGAAAAATTGCATATAAAGTATTTATTATGAACACATCATAAGAATTTAAAAAAAAAAAACAGAACAGAAGGAGAAGATTGTTCCCTTCTTCATGTAGGGACTTCTTGTTTCTCTGCACGTGTTTGATTGACATGATTGCATGGCTGCGTATTAGTTTTTTTCTTTTCTGTTTTAAGTTCACATATTCTCATTGGTTTTTAAGAGGACATATATCACATTTTCCAAATAGGTAATATGGTTTCATCATTTGAAATTAAAAAGGACAAGAGGACACAGAGTGAAAAACTTCTTACTCTTATCCCCAGTGGCCCTCTCCTCCCTAGAGGCAACAAGTATTACAGTTTCTCCTGTACCCTTCCAGGGACCTTCTCTGAATAAACAGGTAACACGTGCATGGTATTTGCCCTTCTTTTACACAGAGGATAAACTCTGTAGTATTCTGTACTTTGCTTTTCTTTCAGATATAGCTGGCCAGTAGTTCCATGTCAGTACATAAAGGATTTGCTCTTTGTTACTGCTACCTATTATTTCATTGTATATTTGCCCCATGATTTACTTTTCCAGCCTGTATTTTACTTTTTTGTATGTGTGCTGGGAACCCATTTACATTCCTCATGCAGGGTATGCTCTGTCACTGAGCTGACCTCCAGCTCTCCAGTCTATTTCTGATGAAAGTCTGGTTGCTTTTACTGTTAAAACATTGCTACAGTGGACACCCGTGCACATCCATCATTAGAGAAAAGACCCTTTAAAAATACTGTGACTTAGAGCTGGAATTGTGGCTCAGTGGTAGAGCGCTCGCCTAGCACGGGCGGGACCCAAATTTGATTCTCAGCACCACACAAAATAAATAAAGGCATTGTGTTGTGTCCATCTACAAAAAAGAATCAGTCTGTCTCTCTCTCTCTCTCTCTCTCTTCTCTCTCTCTCTCTCTCTCTTTAAATACTGTGACTTGAACCTGAAGGTCATCTGCAGAGACTGACCTCATAAACGGACCAACCCCAATTTGCAGCTACTCCTTTCAGGATGCCCCGTCGCTCTCAAGTGTGCCATGCTTTATTAAAAACAACAACAAGCCAGGCGCCGTGGTGAACACCTGTAATCCCAGCAGCTCAGAGGCTGAGACAGAAGAATTGTGAGTTCAAAGCCAGCCTCAGCAATTGCAATTGCAAGGTGCTAAGCAACCCAGTGAGACCCTATCTCTAAATAAAATACAAAATAGGGCTGGAGATGTGACTCAGTGGTTGAGTGCCTCTGAATTCAATCCCTGATACCCAAAACAACAAACCTCTCAAAGACATATTACTACTAATAATAATACATAAAAACTTAAAATGTAAAAGCCAGACCAGCTGGTTTGCATCCCAGTCCTGCTGTTTATAACTGTGTGACCTCAAGCAAGTTACCTAAGCTCTCTGAAGCCTTGATTTCTTCATCTCTAAATGTATTTCCATCTCTAAAGTATAGCAAAGTGAGGCCTAAATAATTACATCCCAGTTATTGCATTACTCCTAAACAAGTAAGAATATTCTGTGTTTAAAAGACACAAACCAAAAATTAACCCAAACTAGCATTTTTTTCCTCTGAACTACAGAGTGTTCTTTTCCTGGAGACATATCTGATAATAAGTGTCATCCGCATTTTGCTTGCCTAGAAAAATTCATGGTAACTTTTTTGCCTTGCAGCACCAAACTACTGCAGTGTAGCTGAGCCCCCTGCTGTGCGTTCTGCCTTTAATTAAAGGCATAGTCACTACAGCAGGGCTTGGAGACCCTGGGCGGAGAGGGTTTCATTAAGCAGATGCACACAGCCAGCTTCTATGAGGGGCTCTGCAGTGAGTGGCAGGTGTCCCATAGCCATCTGGTCACGTTAGCCTAGAAAGGGCTCATTCTACCTCTCGGCTCGCTTTGTCCCAACCATCAGACTGTGCCAGGTGGGGACTTTGCCCTTTGCAGGTTGGTGGCTTGACACCTGTCGTCTGTTTCTCTGATTGGAAGCTGCTGTTTTCATGGGAAGACCTAAATTCCCTCATTACCTCGGAGCCTTGTCTCTTTACTGCTCTTTCCTCCTCTGTGAGTGACCGACCAGGCAGTCACCACGACCGCAGGGGTGCCAAGGAGTGCCAAGGAGTGAGGGGCAGCTCCCTTCAGCTGCCTGTGTATTTCTTGCATCCTTTGTAAGCTGGAGTCTCTCTACCCCACATCTGAGGATCACCTGGCAACCTGGGGTGCCCCAGGTATGTTTATCTGACACACATCCCACCTGGTCTCTGATGAATCCTACGATTGGCTCTATTTGACATAGAAATTAAGAGAGGGGGGAATATTTTTTCATTTTCCTCAAACTCCAGGCAGCAGAGTCTGCGGCGATGCTGAAGCCCGGCTCATGTCCAAAGCTGTCATTTCTCACCGGAGGGGCCTGTGCAGCCCAAACCTCTTCAGTCCTCTCCTTTGACTTCCCCTTGGGATGTAGGGACCAGTCCTGAGAGTTCAGGCTCTCCTGGGCTTCTGCCTCTCTCTAGCCAGGGTCCTTCAAGGGCACCTCTGTGGCAAATCTGGGCCCTCAGCACTGCACATCGCGGTCGGTGCAGGCAGACACCTAGGGGACTTATGAGGAAGGCTCAGGTGACCCTGCGATGTCCTGGAGCTAGCAGCTACCCTCAACTCAAAGGTCATGATGTGGGGCTTGAGGGCCAACCTTGTGAATCTACCTAGTCACATGATTTGTTTCCAAATGTGCAGCCCTTACAAGTAGCAGTGGCGCATGCCTGTAATTCCAGTGGCACGGTAGGGGCTGAGGCAGGAGAATCACAAGTTCAAAGCCAGCCTCAGCAACTTAGCGAGGCCTTAAGAAACTTAGGGAGACCCTGTCTCGAGATAAAAATAAGGGCTGGGGATATGGCTCAGTGGTAAAGCATCCCCAGTACCAAAACCAAAAATTCCCTACCCTTGTGGCCCAGATCCTGAAGTTCTAGAATGTGAAATAGAGTTCCCCTTTATCTCCCCTTCAGATGCCCAAATGTGAAGGGACAGGACTGCTCGCTTTCCCTTTCCCTTCTACAGTTATCCAGGCCCTTCTTAGAAGCCCTTAGGTTTTGAACCCCTGCTGGAGGGGAAGAGTTCTCATCATACATTTGTTCCCCAGATATTTATTGGACACCTACTACATGTTAGGCACTGTGCTAGATACTAGGATTACAGCATTGAAGAAGATGGACACACTCGCTGAACTTGTCCTCTAGGGAATACATATAAATGCATTTTTAGGTGGGATAGTCCTGAGAGCCGAAAAAGCACGGAACCTGGAGCATGTGACATCTAAGCTGAGACCCCAAGAATGCTAGGGATCAGCAGAGTACAGCTGCAAAGAGGGTAGGACTAGGGAGGGGACAAGGAACATCTGGGTGGAGAGAGGTGGGAAGGCTTGGAGGTGAGGGAGAGCGAGCATGTGGCCTCTGATGGAATGAAGGTAAGGCGTTCTACGTAGCAGGACGGTACAGTGCAGTGAGAGGAGGGGTCAGTTAGTAAGAGCACAGTGACATTTGTTGACCATTGCTAGCGCATGAGTGAACTCATGCCAACCCTGTTAGTAATCCATTTTACAGATGAGAAAATCGAGTGAGAGTTGGATTTTATCCAAAGTACAGATAGAGGTCACTGAAGGTCATAATAGGGAGCAGTGGCATTTTTCTGTGTTTTTGGAAGATCACTTTGTGCCATGTGGAGGGTGGGTTAGAGGGAAGGACAAGAGGAACTAGGGACACATCAGGCAATTGCAGTAATCCGTTCAAGAGGTTAGGTGGCCTGAAATAAGGCAGTGGCAGTGGCGGTGGAGAGGGGTGGAAGATTTCAGATACTCAGCAGATTCTTTGAGGACAGTTTATGATTGGATTTGGGGGTAAGTGAGAGCCTGAAGTTAGGGGTGGCATGGGTTTCTGCCTTGGTCAACAGTCTCGGTGATAGTGTTCACTGACCTAACACAGGAAGAGGAAAAGGGGGTGAGATGCTGAGCAAATGAGTTTGGGGCTTGTTGAGTTTGAAGAGAGAAAAAAGAAAATTACTTGGACCACCTACAGAATCTCTCGGCACGTTAATTAGAATGTTCCCCTTTACTATCCACACAAATTTTGTTTTTTCCTCCTCCTCTTCTGGACATCATTTCCATACAATGGTTAGAAGTCGTTAAAGTTTGAGAAATGAGTCCCACAAAGCCCAAAGGTAAATTGTCACCCATTAAGTATGACCACATCCATTTTTTAATAGTGTTTTTTAGTTGTAGATGTACACGATACTTTTATTTTATTTACTTATCTTTTATGTAGTTCTGAGGATCAAACCCAGGGCCTCACACATGCTAGGCAAGTGCTCTACCACTGAGCTACACCCCAGCCCCAACCCTGCATCCATTTGCTGACTGGGAGAGCTTAAGTACTGTTGCTTCAAGTCCTTTGTCACCAGTGTAGACAAATTCACATGTGAAGAATACCCAAGTAAGTACCCCCATTAGGTCACCTTGTAATGTCCTGCCCGTATTAGAACATGAAGCAGTTCCTGCTCTGGGCTGGAGAACATGCTGTTGATCATCAAGATTTTGTGGCTTCCCAGCAGAACTAAGAGTTCAGTGGTGAGCTGGGCTGTGATCCAGAGGTGGGGCTGTGGATGCATTGAGGTCATGAGAGAGGGTCAAATCCCCAGGAGAACGAACCCAGGGAAAAATCACCCAAGACGTAATCCTGAGGATAACAACATTCAAGGGGAGTAACCTGCAGAGACCAAGAAAGGGTAGAAAGCAAGAGTCAGGAGAGTTAATGGTGCCAGATCTGAGAGGGCAAGTGTAGTGGTTAACTTTCTGTGTCAACTTGATTGGCCAATGAGGTATCCAGACATTTGGTCAAACTTTATTCTGGATCTGTAGGATGTTTATGGACGAGATTAACCCTTAAATTAGTAGATTGAATAAAGCAGATTTCCCTCCCCAGTGCGTGTGGGCTCCCTCCCATCAGTTGAAGGCCTGACTGGAGCAAATGACTGACCCTCTAGCACGTAAGAGGGGAGACCTTCCTGCCTGACTGCTTGAGCTGGGACCTTCGCCCTTTCCTGCCTTTGAACTCAAACAAAAACATCAGCTCTTCTTGGCTTCAAGGCTCAGGTTTTAGTACTGGAACTACACCGTCAGTTCCCCTGGGTCTCCAGCAGATCTTGTGACTTATCAGCCTGCATAACTCTATGAACTCGACTCCTTACAGTAATTCTTTCTCTGTATATCAATATCTTTCTGTGTGTGTATACTCATGTCAACACACACACACACACACACTGGTGTCTACCAATAGCTAATGCAGCACAGCAGTGTTTCAGAAGAAGGGAGTGACTCGCTGGGCCAGAGGTTGCTGTTTGGTCAAGTAAGATAGAATGTAAAAGTTGAGTGCACGGGTCTGGAGTTGTGGCTCAGCGGTAGAGCACTCGCCTAGCTAGTGTGAGGCCCTGGGTTTTATCCTCAGCACCACATAGAAATAAATAACTAAAGGTTTTTAGTTTATTTATTTATTAACTAAAAACTAAACTCCAACTAAAAAATAAATATTAAAAAAACAAAAAGTTGAATGCATACCTGCATCCCCAGCAACTCAAGAGGATGAGGCAGTAGGATCACAATTTTTGAGGGGCTAGGGATGTAAATCAGTAATAGATTGCCCCTGAATTCAATCCCCAGTGCAGCAACAAATAAATAAAAATATCATTGGATTTAGTGACCACAAAGCCATCGGAAGAGCAGTTTTAATGACATTGTAGAGGCAAAACAGCCATTCACTCTGCATTAGTGAGTGAGAAATAGAGAGATGGAGAAAAGAGTTGGAAAATATGGTAGAGGAAAGTAGGGGAATTTTTCCTTTACTGGCTCCTGTTTGTGCCTTTCACCCACCCAGGGACGCCACTTGTCATGTTGAGACTAAAACCCTCAGGGTCACTCCAGGGGAACTGGGCTGCACAAAATAACCACACAAGAGACAGAAATACCTTTTTCTTTGGGATCGCTCCTCTGTGACCTTAAGGGTCCGCAGAAAGAGAGAGCACGAGCTGACCCCTTTTATTGAGGAGAAGCTATTCAAATGAGGCAAGGGGTCA